CAGAACCTAACGAATAAATCGCTATTAGACATGGTGATTTACTTTACGAAAAAAGGGCAATATAAGAGACAGGAGAGGACACCCAAATAAAGGGCAAGGTCCTATGAGGAGAGAGTTTGTCAGTCACAGAGGGTCTGTCGTTATCGAAAGTTTACCCTCTGTAGAGATCGTACGAGTTCTCGGATACCTCTCTCCAAAGATGCTGCTGTTACCCGAATAATCCGAATCAAGTTGTCGAGTCATAAACAGACCATGACATCAATCGGATTAGCAATGAGAAACATCTTCAAATTCTCTAGAAGGTATTTATCCTTACGCGAATCTATGTGAACTCTCTATCAAAATAACTCGCGAAGATAGTTATAATAGCCTTTAAATATAATATACTAGCCTTATATAATATACAATATGATAGCCAATAACTAATATTCAACAGTTCAACTTTAACTAGCTCACGTTAAGCCTATTTGTAAATAGCTTCTGGTAAATAAAGGGACATTTGTTAAAAGCTAATACTTTCTGTTTTACGACAAAAGGCAGTAAAAGACAAATCAAACTTATATTAAACTAGCTGTTTCCCGCGATTTCTCCCGCGGAGGTTTTGCAAGCAAACCCCATTTATATTCAGTATTTCAACAACCATAGTAATTGTTATACAACACCTACCGCTGAGAATAATGAGAATTGCTGACAATCAAACGAACTATTTTCTAGAACGTTTGCTTCGATTATAAAACGATTGTAATGTGCATTAAGAAATTCGAATTTTAAACGGTTCGAACATTTGGTTAAAAAATCGAAATATATAAAAATATTTATAACAATGTCTGAAATGTTATCATTTTAATACACCTAAATACTCAATGAAGACTAAACGTTGTTAAAAACAAAAAATCGCATTTAAAATAATACAGTAGAAGCCGTTCTTCCGTTTAAGACGTAATGATTTCTCTGTACCCCGCTAGAGAATTTCGAAAAATCCCTTCTTAGTATGCGTTTTCATGACGTGCCTTAACTGTGTATTAAATTTCATTTCTTTATATTCAGCGGTTTGCTCTGGGCGATAATGAATCAGTGAGTTATTCAGTCAGTCAGTCAAGACAAGTAATTTTATACCTACAAATAATTCTCGTAACAGAAACAGAATATTTAAATGTTTTTCTTTTTGGTTGTTCTGATTTTATTACAACTCGACTAGGAAAGGTGAAAATCTTTTCTTTGGATATAAAATTGTAAGTTAATTTTTTTTTATTATTAGCTTTATAAAACAACATTGAATCTAGATTGAAAGTTAGGAACCAACAATTATCGTCACTATTTCCGGCTGTTCTACAAAACACATGGAAAATATATCAATCTATAGGTCCGACCATATTCGTCTGTCCAATTAGGACTATGTTCGGACCTATAGATAATTTCACACTTTAAGGGGGTTTTCGAATAAAAATGTTGTTGAAATTGTACTTAAATTAATTCTGATAAATACCATAATAATAATACAAATGTCAAAACATTATTTCAAAATAATAGATATTATTTCAAAGAATTTATTTAACGTCGTGTGAAATCAAAAGGGATCTATTTGCATTTATAATAAAAATCAATACCACGCGACTCCGTGAACCACTAATAGATAATGTAAAAATCTTAAAAAAATTAGTATTAAATAAAAGAAAATTACATCAACACGTAAAATTAATAAGAATGCCCTTAAATAATAAAATAAATTTTTAAACATAGGTTTACAGTTTGAAGACACGGAAATTTTTAACACTAATGCAATAATACCGACGACCCGCGTAAATCTCCTTGTTTTCTCGCAGTTTGTCTGTAACAACAATAGAGTGGAGATGTGCCTCTATTTTACTTCCAATCATATACATATACGTAAAAAATAAACATAATTAAATATTTTAAATTTTCTCTGCAAATTCTGAAATTCACGTAACATCTTATAAAACCTCACGTATTAGTTTGGCTTTCGAGAATGACCCCGTTCAGCAGAGACCTTGGTCAACCTGGGGATTGGCTTTACTGAACTGTTCGCCCAGTCTCAGCGTTTGCCTGTTCCTGAGATATCTCGCAGAAGAGTATGCTCTATCTCATTCTAACCTCAGCGGGATTTCAAAGTGCCTGAAACTTTCGTGTAAGTAGTCCTTAGCCCTTACTCCCCTTCTCTCCTGCTCGCCCTGCAATTTATACCTTTAGGACGGGATCTACCGACTAATTACCGATTGCTCTTGCAAACAGCTTTCACCCCGGTCTGATTGAATCGAATGATGAGATTGCTTCCATGTCCGCCGAGTTCGGTTGTGGGTAATCAATACCTGGCAAGTTGTTTACGAACGGACCTCCCTTGAATCCAATTAGCGAGGATAGCGCTTTTTTTTGTTCCCTTACCGTTTACTTTAAGCTAACACTTTACAGTTAGTTTAGAATGAAGTGAATTACATGAGAATAACTTTAAAAATACTGTATATATATTAATAGAACACTGATGAAAAATTATAAGCAATTTAAATGTTGTAAATGCTTTTAATAAATGTTGAATTTTACCAAAAAAGGCTTCCATCAATAGCGGGTGTCCGTGAAGTCATTATTTGAAAAAGGAAATAGAATTAAAGTTAGAAGATAATATAAATATATTAGTTGGTAATGCCGATTTTAACGGAGTATCGATATATTTATCCGCCATAGACAGGTCTTTGTCCGCCGTTAACAGGTTTCGTCTACTACGAAGTATTGATAGAATAATTAAGAGATAAGTGCAATCATAAAATAAATTAAGTGTTAAATAAAAGAAAATATAGCGTTACCATGGATGAAAATCTTAGAGCAGTATTAGACAATGTTGAAAGTTTACTTATCTCGTTCAGGCGAAGCAAACGAACCGAATTTTTTGACTCCCTGGCCGATGCCACCAGTGTGGCAGGCTGTACAAAGGCTCAGATGTTGGCAGTAGCCAGTTTAAAGCTTACAGGAATCGACCAAAAAACGAAGAACTGAAACACGTAGAAGGCTAAGATGAACTTAAGTAATTTATATTGAAGAGGTTTGAACGAGTCCCACATTCACTTAGGCTAAACAAATTTTATGCATGCGTTCAACAGCGCAGAGTAGATGTTCAGACGTATACCGTCAGGATCCAGTTGATCGCCTCCGAAATAGAAATAAAGTGGGAACAAACGAAGCAGAGGCCGCAATTATAGAACGAATCGAAAGTAAAAAATAAGAAGAGAGACTAAAGATCCAATTTCTGAATGGCGTTGATAAAAAAATAAGGCAGAAAGTAATGTCACGAGAACTAGATATGTTTGATGGCAATAGGGTGGCAATAAGCGAATAACAAGTGGCAGTTAGCGAAGAAACTATCGAGAATCTCACTACACGTCCTCAAGGATCTTTGAAATGATCAAAGAGGAAGAAATCCCTGTCAGAGAGGTAAAGAGATGAATGGGAAAAACTCGCGACCGCTATAAACAAATTACAGGAGAAACTGCAAAGAATGAAATGAAAATTTCCACCGGAAGCTAGAAAATAAAGACGACATAGTGGATATTCTGTCAGGAACTCGATATTCTGTCGAGAAGCCTATCACCTACATTAGAGAGATACGATGCGGATACAAATCGAAACAACCGCCCTTGATGCCATGATAAAGTCAAAGAAATAGCGACAAGAGATCCGAAATTCAGAAATGAAAACCAAATAACAAGGAAAAATAAAGACAATGCGAACAAAAAAAGACGTACAGTACAGTCTATCTTATATAAAATATATTATTACAAAAGTAAAAATAGATTCGAGTGCAAAAACTACAATATTATCGAAGAAAGTAAAAAATATAATAAAAAATAAAGCACCTGTAAGATATAGAATAAAACCAAAATTACAAAATATACCTAGAATATCATTACAAGTTATAGGTATGACGGTACCGACTTTTAAATTAAGAGGGCACCAATTTCCAGCTACATGCAGAATAATAAGGCTCGAGGTCACCGCGCCCTGCGAAGAACAGTTGGACATGATCTAATTGAGGGAATAGGTATAATAATAGACACATTAAGTAATAGAATAATAGAAAAATTCAAATCTATATAATAATAGAAATAAATTAAAGACAGAAAACGATAAGCAACTGAAAACCCGAAATAAAACAGGTCCATCATCTAAGCTGTCATCTCAGCCACATCAATTTTCCCACCTTGCTGTCAGAGAGACCATATAGTATACGTTTGCCGAAAAAGTTTTAAGTCTTTCAATAAAACATAAAAAAGAAAATAAGGCAAACATAAACAAAATACTATATCAACACTAATTTCCTATTCGATTTTTTTTTGTAAATATATTCATTTCCTTTCTGTACAATTATATATTAGATATTTGAGTTAGATTAGGATATAATGAAACAAAAAAGAGAACGAGTATAATTCCATTTAAATTGTAATTGTTGATAATTCTTGAACCTACCGACGGTCATTTAATAATTACGTTAAGAATTTTTAATTAATTGAATATTTACTTTGGAAAACAGCGTTAATACGTACAATGACGGTCGAGGAAAATGACAACACATACTTGGAAAACTAGTTTGAAACAACGAAACTCCTACGAACAATTTTTATTCCACACTTTAACGAAGCGGTGATTGCAATGGTGAAACCTTATGCACCTAACAGGTCTGTTTAAATTTTCTATGAAATAACTACATATTCGGTAGGATAACGTATTATAGTCTTTAACAATAACAGTATTCAGTATACCCTATCGATACTGTATATAATACCTTATCTCGAAAATCAGGATTTCGTTTTATTAAGGTCTATTATACTTTATAATCGAATATTTTTAATTATCTTTCCTATCAAAATATTGAAAAAAAATTAACTATGGTTTTAATTATGAAATTAGTAATTTTTTCATTCTAACTTGAAAATATTGTATTTATCATAGTTATTTCTACACCAACAAAGTAAGCAGATAATATATTTATTAATTAATATTTCATACAAAGAAGTTATTAACGTTAAAATTATTCATTATTACAAAAGATTTTATATGGAAAAATGAAAATAAGACAAAATAATTCAAGTGTCAACGGAATTGGTCAATCTTCGTTTGAACAATTGAACTGTAACTTTTTTACATAAAGTACATGGTTATCTACAACATTAGTATAATATAAATAAAGATTTTGTTCAGTAATATTATAGAAGAAGTTAGAACTAGTCGCGTATGGACGTGGGATCTCAGGTAAATCAATGTCTGCGATTACTTTGTTGTGTAAAGCCGACAAAATACGAAATTTGTTAGGAGGATGCTTACGCAGATAATAAAACTTACCGTAAGCAACGAAGATGGAATTTATTTTACAATTAATGAAAGTAAAATTCTGCTTCGACAAAACTTTTAAATTATCTAAATCCATTTTATATCCCACGACAACCCTTTCAATTCGACCCCTTTTTAAATTTTCTGTCTTATTTATAACGTCAAATACCCAGAAAAAGTTGTCATCTGGAACTACACATACGTTCTCATCATTATACTCAACAAAACCGAGTTTATTCCCAAAAGTCAACTTCTTTGTTTCAATGTTATACTTGACAATCCTTCGTTCCGAGCGAAGGCCATGTCGACTATAAATATTTCCATTGTATTCGACCAATCTCCCACTTGTCATTTCTTTAGGTAATTTGAACTCCTTCAGTATTTTCGCTTCTCCATTTTCATTAATTTGGCATTCTGTTATTAAATCTAAACGAGTATCCAGTGAAATAAATTTGAAATTGTCTTTTGGACCCTCTCCAATATTGATAATTTGTAAACTAATGAACAACTTAAATTTTATGCAGTGATACTGAAAACTCTCATTGTCTGTAGTGTTTTGAAGAATGCAATCTGAAAAGAAAATCGTCGATTAAATATTAAAGTTTATTTATATTTGTTTAAAAATAAATGAAAAATTATTGAAATGTAAACGTTTTGATAAACATTACAATTCACTCTGAGTTAAAATTAAACCATTTAAATGTCACAAGATAATTAACATACAGTCGACCCTCTTATAACACTGTTGATTTTTCCGTTTTATATGAATTCCATGTTGTACGAGTCACTTAGATTTTACAAATACGTGAGCCGTTCACAGCCAGGCATACGTATTTGTAAAATCTAAGTGACTCGTACAACATGGAATTCATATAAAACACAATTATGAACAATGTTATGAGGGATCTATTATATTTTTCTATTTTATTGTAAATTGAAACGAATTTTTTCACGATTATAAGGAATTTATACATTACAAATTTCTTTATTATTACTCTTAAAAAGCGAATATGAAAGAATAACCATAAAAGTAAACTATACTATTTTAAACTATAACCTAAAAATATACACTGTATATATACATCGACTCCCCTATAACACTGTTAATTTTTCTGTTTTATATGAATTCCATGTTGTACGAGTCACTTAAATTTTACAAATACGTGAGCCGTTCACAGCCAGGCACACGTATTTGTAAAATCTAAGTGACTCGTACAACATGGAATTCATATAAAACAGAAAAATCAACAGTGTTATAGGGGGGGTCGACTGTATCCTTAAAAGATAACAATACAACTACTGAAACAAGGTGACTTTGTGTACGTAAATTCTATACGTATGTAATATATATAGTGAAAAAATTACCTTTTGGTTTTTCTCTGTTTATTTCAAAAAAGTCATCGGCAGTAGGACAATATTCCAAGAGATCAGATTTCTACATAAATGACAATACCAAACACAATTTATACAAATAAAAAAATAACACTTTGTTGTCAAAGTATTTTTTGTTATTTTATTAGTTATTTTAAGTAATTAGTTGCTAATTAATGCAGATAATACAATTTACTAAACACTTACTTTTACATTACAGTTTTCCTTTATCGTTATTATCTCGTCGTTTTTTTCAGATGATTTTGCTGTCAAAAGACAATCTCCTTCGCATTCCTTTTCGGTTTGAGACGTAATTTCCCTTTTTTTCAATGGATGACCAGTACTGTTCTGATCGATGTTGACGTCTTCGTTACTTTTCTGGGACTTGGTATTACAATCACATATCATAATAATATAACTTTATTAAAGTATTAAATAAAGTTTGCAAAAAAATAAAATATAATGAGCTTAGGTAAGGTGATAAAGGGAGTCGTGGCATATCTCGAATAGAGTCAAATTAAAGACGAATTTACCCGTTAATAGAATATAAAACTATTTATAAAACCCATCCTAACTTTAAAAATTAAGTTACTTGTCTATTTTATAATTAAAAATATAAAAATTCGTTTTAATAAAATATCTTAACAAACGGCGCCAGGAAATGTTGCCGGAAAACTTAAGCTACTGGTTTGTGGTTTTTTATAACGATTTTAAGAGATAAAAATTAAATAAATAATAAATTTAAAATAAATCCCGAAGTGTTCACACGAAACCATTGTTTAAATGCACCTAATTATATAATTATTTCGCTAATTAAAGTACTATAAACATTGCATAGATTGTGCCTTTGACAAAGGAATATATTTTCAGAAGAAAGACGTAGATTGTCATTAATCTTCTTTTTCTGTAAGTGAATGAAATGTCCAATCCCGAAATTCGTAGAATTAACAATATGGGAAAGAAAACAATTTCCGGAAGAATTTGCTCTTTGTCCATTTTGGAGTGACTGCTGCTTCTATTGATTTTCACTTAATGAAAATCTAAAGTGTTATATAAGTGAAGGAAGAATTTACAAATTAATTATAAGATAAAATTAATTTGNTACTACATGAAAATGAAAATTAATGAATACACTGTGTACAGTAATTTACCTGATAAGACAGACCTCAGAAAAATACTTTATGAGAGCTTTTATACTTTTATAAAGCTGTCTATAATGAAAATTAATTAACTAAGGATTTTTTTGCCCTGCCAGGGTGTGGCCGAGTTATCCGGAGTGCCGGGTTATCGAAAGCCGAGTTTTCGAGGTTCTACTGTATTAAAGAAAATAATGATGTAAACACTCGACTCTCCTTTGTTACAACTATAAAGCTTTGATGCGAATAAGTCTAACATTATTGTATCGGTATAAAAATGTATTTTTAGTCATTAAAAATACAAGTAGTCAAAACAGGCGCAAACTTTAGTTATAGAATTTAACCTAGAGCTAATTTTAAATTTAAAACTGTAATTGTTTTATGACAAAAAGGTGCACGAACTCGAAAAATATTAATTTTTTATGAAATTCGAATAAATTCTTATAATAAAACGTATAATTACCGAGTGATTTCCTGTTTTGTCTTCCACACTTTACGCTTCTACTTTGAATTTTAATTCATTTAAACACGAATTTCCGTTCGTTTTATATATTTGATAAAGACTTCGTGTGACGTTATTTATTTAATTACAGCTTGTTGATACACTAAATTAGCCGATAATAGTTATTAAATCTATGTTTAAAATGTCAGAAACACAATTATTTAATTAGTAAATTTTTCCCTTCGATTCGGAATGTAAATTAAGGCAGAAGGTTACAGAAGAATAAATATGTAGCAAAATAACGTGTTCGTAAAGTTTAAATTACTTTCGTATTTTAAATGAAAATAAAAATACACCTAAATCTGGGTCTTGTGCTCTTATTAGTTTTATATCCGTACAAAATTTTATTTATCTGATTCGGTTCTGGACAAAAAGAACAGACAGACATGCGGACAGACAGAGGAGAGTGCAAATTTGTAAGTCTACAATTGTTGAATTGCATCCTAATACACATGCTTTTGGTTAATGTTAAAATATAAAATAAACATCTGTTTTATTTTTTATAATATAACATTGTTAAATTAATTAGTATTTAATTTTGTAGAAATTTAATAATTAAGTAAACACGCGGTTTATCACAAATACAACTCGTTAACGATCTACCGGAAAGAAATGCATTCGTAATTAATTACTCCATCCGGCAGCACTCGAGGATGTAGATACAGTACAAGAAAATAAACATTTCTATGGGAATTTTCTCAATAATTAAATACAGTCAACCCCCCTATAACACTGTTGATTTTTTTTGTTTTATGTGAATTCCATGTTGTACGAGTCATTTAGATTTTACAAATACGTGTGTCGGGCTGTGAACGGCTCACGTATTTGTAAAATCTAAGCGACTCGTACAACATCGAATTCGTATAAAACGGAAAAATCAACAGTGTTAGTTTTGCTTGAATACCTGTCGTTTTCGATTTTTTGTACTTTTAATTTCTGAAAAAAAAATATGTTCCTAAGAATGTCATACTCTTTGCGGGCTTCCTTTTGGCCAAAAACTCACGAGTTTTGAGGGACAAATGAGCCGGCGCGTTGTCGTGATGAAAAAAACCACTCGCCCCTCCTCCAAAGTTCGGGTTGTTTTCCCCTGATTCTGTTTCATAACTTCCTGGTTGACTGTCTGGCCTTTATGTAGGTATTCGTGATGCACAACCCCCCTTTGCATCGAAAAAAACACGCAACATCACCTTAACATTTGAGCGAACTTCTGTTGAGCTTTCTTGGGGAGAAGGGGATGTTTCACCCGCCCATGGGAAGTCTCCGTGAAGGATTTCCCAAATTTCACGGAACAATGCTGCTCCTTCGAAGAGCTCATTTCCGCGGATCCGATTTCTCGCCGAATCCCACAAACACCCCTTCACATAAACGGCCGTAACTAATCACCAAAACGAAATATCAACAAACAGTTTGAAGGAGGTCACTCGGGAGATTTCCTCGGACACAACGCATCCAAGCGCATTAAAAAATAACCAACTGAATGCGCGCTATTTAAAAAGTTATGTGAACTCACATAGTTTTATTAATTCCTACATAATATAAATAATTATATAAATCATAATGGTTTTTAACATCAAAATTACATAAGAATTAAATGAAGATAGAATATATACAAGCCTAGAATGTGTCAGTTTAAAGTATACAATAAATACTGTGTTATCCTACATTTAATATTCTATTTATCAACGTAGATTATATGCTTTTCTTTGTAATACGAAGTGTATAATAATATTTGTTAAATAATTATTTGTGATATCTTAAAAGGTTTGCATAATTTATCAAGACATAGTTTTATATAATGTTATAACAATTAAACCTTGAGACAGGAAAAAACCAAACGTCTGTAAGAAAAAGATATCGATACATAATGTACTTCTACATATATTTTACTTTGTAAGCTCGATATTTAAAAATACACTCACCTTCAGAATAAATATTTGTGTTACAGGAAAGTGATCGAGAAATTTCAGTGTTAATTCTGATCCTTGGCTTTGATTTAACATATTATACAGCTGTAATATTTAAGACAATAGTTACTACTTGTTAATAATGTAAATTATGTATAAGTTAATTACTTACCATAATCGAATCCGTATTACTATAATAACGAAAATATAGTTCATATATTCTTGAATAAATATGCATTCCCTGCTCGATGAAACAATGTGTTATTATTAATAATTAATTCAATAAAGACACTTTCTAAATATATATATAAGACATTTTTATACCTACAATTTTTTGTGAAACTCGTCCCTACCCTTAAATTAAATTTTATGCCATTTTATAATAAGTACAGTAGAGCGTCGTTTATCCAAATCAATTGGGTACTGAGGTTGTTCAAATAACTTATTTTCGGATAACCGATTAGGTACGAAAATATACATTAACCTATCCCGTGTTGAAATTTTTCTCCATTGCGTGTCGCTTCGCGTTAAATTTTCGTCGATGTTAAGCCTAACGTGTACTTTTTAAAATAATAATCGTGACTATTGTATCGTTAAAAATTATTTTTTTATTTGTACAAACAAAATAAATATATCGAAAAATATAAAAACCAAAAAAATATACTTTAGAAGTTAATCTAGTATCAAAAACGTTTGATTCAGCATCACACACAGTCATCAGAAAAACACCACACAAAAGTGCCAGTGTTGACAGCTAAACAAACACCCCAACAATAAAAATATTGGAGTAGCCCAAGATATAGCCAAAGATTGAAGCGCCACAGCACTAGCGAAAATTTAAATTTGCTGACAGGAATCTTTCAAATAACCGACGTTTCGGATAACCGACGCTCTACTGTAATATTTTTCTAAGTCAACGAATTTTACAAAAAACGGATGAAACTTTCGATTTTCTAAAAAAGTTGATTTCCTTTCCCAGGAGGACTCATGATGAGTCGCGTAAGTTTTTGCACACGTTACTAGAGAGCAAGTAAAAGGGACGTTTTCCTGCACCTCGAGACAGTCCGTCGAAGAAGGTATTGCCATACGAAGAGAGCTAAGCATACGATAGAGGCAGTCCATCAAAAGGAGGTATTGCCACAAAAAGAAGTTTGACATACGATAAAGGCAGTCCGTCGAAAAGAGGTTTGCCATACGAAGAAAGGTATATCGTCATACAAGGCTGATTTACGAATCCAAAAAAGTCATAAAAATATCGTTATAGAGTACTACATTCGAAGTATACAAGATTATTAATAGAGAAGATTTATAAGAACTGTCTATAGAAATTATAAAAAGAGAAATAATCAAGAAAGGAAGAAGACCCTCATATAGATACAAAAAAAGATACGAAAGACCTAATTAAATTTCCTTCGCTCTTCCTACTCGAAAGTTAGGGATAACGCGTGTTAATCCGCGTGTAAAATAACTGATTAACTGGTGTCGTGAATCCTGACGAGGAAACGGGTGATTACGCGATCATCTAATTCCGCTTTAAATTAACATTCAAACTGTAAGTCTCTCCCCACTCGAAATAAATAGAAAAACCATTCTTTTAGACAAACAGAAGGCGATTCAAGAGAATAGCTGCCGATTAAGTGATACTTAAGTCATAGTTACTACATATCCCCGGCTAGACCCTCACAATTAGTTTCGTTTCTATATTCAGAAGAAGCAAGAATTCACGAAATTTCTGTTGTTTAGGCAATTTTGGGAATTGGAAAAATGGGGCAAACGAGAAGAAATGGAAACACATGCCCCAATATCTTCTCGGTTTTTCCATTGCTCCATTCCAACTGCCTCAATGTACGTTCACCCCTACTCGTG